GGTCGTTCTTAGTTCTGCTGCTTTATCCACCATATAATCTTCAGCAAAATGGTTGTTAATATCAAGTTATTTCGCACAGTTGGACGATCTGCCATGGCATTTGTATGGGAATGGAAGCTCGACGCCTTCTTAACCCAACCTTTTGACCTAGTTTTGAACAAAAACCTTTACCAATCACGCTTTGGAATTTGTTCCTTTGAATCTCATGAGATTACTTGGCATTCTTCATATAAGTTGTTTCCAAGGTAGGTCAGTGGGTGATCCCATCCGAACAAATCTACTGATAGTAAAATGCTGTTATTTTACTGTAAATGCCTCGACATCGCAAAATTCAACACCCATACGGACATGTCCGGTATGGGGAACGCAAATGGCTCCCCATACCGGACAGTGCTGGCTAGTTACGCTCATTTGCCTTATTCGAGGTTCGTGTACAAAGGAATGGAGATGTGAATGGTTCGAGGTTTGTGCCAAAAGGGACGGAGTTAAAGGCCGCCAATTAAGAGTCCTTGGGTTAGATGTTGTACGAATTCCGCCGTACCCAAATCGCTGTAGGTTCACATTACTTGAGCTCAGGGTGGGTGACAGTTCGTGGGTATGCATTGTCATAGGGATGGATGAATTTTGAGATAAAAGCCCATTGATGAAACTATGAGGGTCTGGATGGAGGGGGGGCAGGGGCGGAAATGTCACTTGTCAGTTAAAATTTTATCTATATGTCAATTAAATTTTGGGCTATTTGTCAGTTGTCTGTTAGACTTGGGGCCGTTTGTCAGTTCTCAGTTAACGATTATCTAAAGATCTTAAATGGCGTAATCCTCTCTAAGTGAGCGGCGTCGACCAAACCAGGATCGGAACGGACCAAGGATCGAACAAAAAAGTTTTGAAAAAGAAATCAATCAATTAAGATCAAAAATATAATATGTTAATTGTTATTAGAAATTTTGCGTGACAAGGTAAAATAAAGCATAATGAATGAAGGGGGAAATTTCTGAAGAAACTGTG